CCTGTACTGACATCCAGGCTCCTCCCCCTGGCCATAGCATTTGGAGAAAATTTAGATGCATTTATCTGCTTTATGTGTGATGGGATCTGGACTCACGGTTCAACTGGGTGAATATTAACTAAACCGCATAAAAATGCAGCTATATAGCCGATTTTAATGTGATTATAATTTGACGGGTAAAAATAGTAAATGACCGATTTTTAAAAATCCTTTCGGTCAAGATGACGGAGAACAAAAAAGGCTAGCGCGACGTCTGTGTAGCCCCTACCAATAAAACAGCATAACACTGGTAAAGTACTGCAGCATATCACCTTACAGCTAAAGATAAAGAAAGTACAGCCATTTATGTAATGCAACAATCCTTCATCAGTCATAAGTTATTTTTTTCTGACACAGGTATGCAGATTTGTTTTAGATCATTTAGGGCAAAATTAAGTGTAAGATTTATTTTAAAGTGGGATTCAAAGAATACAACTTGTGTTTTGTACACAAACTGTATTGAAGAGGTGTAACTGCTGATTTGTATTTCTGAAAGCCTGGAAAAAATCTATAGTTACAAAACTCTTCAAGGATTTTTCTCCACAACTTCTCAATTACAAACCACAAACACTTTTGCATTAAAAAAGTCCTTCATAAAAACGTTTCATTATAGATAAAAGAAGTAGGTTCCTTCACAGGGTAAGCTTCTGAGCATGTGCATTGTCTTCTTAACGATATTTTTTTTTTACTTTAAGTTAAACTTACTAAAATATGCCATGTTTGAAATTCCAACTCATTTATATTAATTAATTTGGACATAGCTCAATTTATTTAGTTCAACAATTCACTGACTTTTTTTTTTTTTTGAGTGTGGAATGAGGAAGTCTCATTGTTTGTGGAGATTTATATAGCTCATTATGACAAAGAGTCTTACCTTTGAAGAGCTGGAACATCCCAGGGACTATGATGGTGGTGATGGCCACTAACTTGCTGATGGTGAGGAGGATCTGGATCCTTGCTGTCCAGGTGACACTCATACTGTTCAGATAAACAACAGAAGCTGCAGGGAAACAGAGCAGTCAGTGGCCGCTTACCTTCTCATACTGACACAGCTGATGACACACACATACTGTGAGAGTCTGCTTTAAGCCTAAAGGCAACTATGATAACAACCAATGGCCATGTTGTGTAGTAG